CGCCCGTGAAGTTGTTGAAGGTCATCTCGCCCGTCTCACGATTGACGGTGAGCGTCAGCGCCGCGTTCGCTAGCAACGTGTAGAGCCCGCCGGCGCCATCAACGATCAGGAGGTTGCCGTTCTCGTCGAGGTCGAAGGAAGTAACGCCAAAGATCTGCCCCTCGTCGGGCGTGAAGAGCGAGTTCATGTTCTGCACGGTGCCGAGCGGGTTGGCTGGGTCGAAAGACCAGATCTGACCGAAGACGTTGTCGGCGAAGATGTAGCGGCCGTCGAGTTCTTGGATCGGGCCGCGGTAGAGGACGCCGCCGGTCACCGAGTTGCCGGCGAAGTCGGGGTTGGCGCCGGGCCGGCCGAAGTGCAAGTAAGCGTAGATCGGGTCGACTGCCGAGCGTGACGGCCCGCCGACGCCGCCGGTCGGCGTCGCCACCGGTCCTTCGCGGAGGCGCCAGCCGAAGTTCTGCCCGCTCGTGCCGGCGGGGATGAGGTTCACTTCCTCGTACCAGCCTTGCCCGACATCGCCGATGTACATGTCGCCGTTCGCGGAGTCGAAGCTCGCCCGCCAGGGGTTGCGCAAGCCCCAGGCCCAGACCTCCGGCGCGCCGTCCACGCCGTCGGCATACGGGTTGTCGGCGGGGATCGCGTAGTTCTTGTCGGCGTCGCCGGCGAAGTCGTCGCCGTCGACATCGACCCGCATCACGGTCCCGTACCAGTTGTTGGGGTTCTGCGCGTAGTTGAAAGGGTCGTGCTGATCGCCGCCGTCGCCTTGGGTGATGTAGAGGTTGTGAATCCCCTGCGCGCTTTCCTGTGGGTTGAAGCCGATCCAGCTGCCGTTGTGGTTGGCGGCGGGTTGATCGAGCGTGAGGATGGTGCGCGAACCGGTGACCGGCAGCGCGGGGTTGTTCACGTCGACCGTGTACTCGCGGACCACCGTCTTGAACGGCGAGACGCGCGAGTCCACCGTCGGCGCCGGCCCGGTGTGGTTGACGGCGGCGTTAACGTACAGCTTGCCGTTGGTCTGGAACTCGGGGTGGAACGCCATCGAGAACAGGCCGACCTCCGGGACGCCGTACGGATCGACTAGGCTGATGTCATTGATCACCAAGAAGGGATTGTCGTAATCGACGGCGCCCGTGTTGCGGT